AAATGGAGATGATCGGTTTTTTTTTCGTAAAAGTGTTCAATTGTCCGCGGTCAGAGATTTCTGTTCACGAAAGAAGCTTCTCTGTGGAACAATGGAGAGTTGACGTGTTCCGAGGAGCCGTCTCCAAGGACGAGGGGGTATAAGGACCTTAAGTCACGCTCGGGTTCTCCCCGTAGGCCTCTAATTGCCAGTTCGTTCCGGACCGTAAGTCACCTTTCTTTTTTCTTCCAGCGGAGTTTACTTCTTGGCTAGACTCCGCAACAGTACTCGTCATCATCGAGAAACGCAGCCTGTTTTCATAGGAAACCTGCTCGAACAGTTCCAGTTCCCTTTTTTTGCCGCTGCTGCTGTTGCGAGTATCGCGAACTGGCGTTGCGCTTTATTATCTAACCGGGCTCCAGGTGCCTTGGGAAACACTCTTGTCACAGTCTCTTTATAAAGAGGGCAAGGAAAAAATGCGACGATCTGTGAAAGTTGGGAAATTAAATGGTCTAATTGAAACGGTGGTTTTTGCAATTTGTCATTGGTGAAGATAATTTTCAGTATTGAGTATTGAGAATTTTTGAAGACTATTTTTATCCTTGCCAATTTGCTAATTTTCGGTATTTCACGTCTTAGAAATTGCAAGTTTTTCCATTTCAGAGCGTTGAGATTTTCAAATTTTCGCGCTTTGTAATTAACAAATTTTTGGAATTTTGGTGTTGTGAAATTTGCAAATTTTGAATTTTCAAGTTTCATAAGTTGCGAATCTCTGACGTTTGACGTTTTGGAATTAGCAAATTTTTCAATTTCAGAATATTGGGATTTGCAGATTTTCGAATTTTCTCACTTTGCAACTTGCAAATTTCCCAAATTTGGAGCTCTGGAGTTTGCGGAGCTCTAAATTTTCAAGCTTTAGAGTTTTCAAATTTCCGATATCTGACGTTTTAAAATCAGCAAATTTTCCAATTTCAGAGCATCGAGATCTATAAATTTTCAAAATTTGCAGCTCTGCAGTTTCCAGAGTTTTGAATTTTCAAGCTTTAAAATTAAAAACTTCCGATTCTTCCCGCCTCGTAATTAGCAAATTTTCCACTTTCAAAGCGACCTCCAAATTTTCAAGCTTCCTAATTTTCAAATTGCCAAACTTTCACACCGTAGAACCTGCAAATTTCACAATTTTCACTGCCACGAATTGCAGTTTCCTCGATCTGTACAATTCCATTCAAAATACAGAACCATTACACCGCACAGGCAATTCAGTTTCCTTGAGACCTCTTTTCCACCTCTTCAGTCCCTGAATAATCATCAACAATCGAAGCTTCCGCGAACAATTAGCAATCAATAAACCAGTAGTAGCTAGACACTACTTCCATTTTTCTCCTACACAAACGCTTTCCATTTCATCGATCGAACTGTTCTCTGCATTGTCTACACACACACACACACAGTGTTTCTATCGACGCAAGCTTAGTAAATGTTGCATATTAGAGACAGAAGCGACGAATGGCAATGACACGGTTTGTTTCTTTTCCCATTCGATTCTATAACGATAACTACAGCGTGGAAAAGAGGTAGAAACATTCAGATAGACCGAGATAGAGAGGAAGGGAAAACGAGATCTTGTACGGTTTCTCGGTATATTCCTCTCGAGGGGATATTACTATTCTCTTGTTGCTTCCCAGGTATAGTTATCTGGTAGAGGGAACTTTGGTGACGTTTTTAGCGTTGCAAATAAAGCAGCAAACAGCGCGGAGCGTGTTCAAGCGAGAATACTATTTTTAGTGGTCCCTGTTCCTTTGAAGGTCCCTCAATTTATTCCCTTGAAGCAGTTTTTGAGGATATAATTGCCACTCTGGGATCTTAGACCTCGTTCCAGTCTAGTTTCGCTGAAAATTCCCTTGGAAATTCGTTCTCTTGATGATCGTTTCTCCAGGGAAGAATCAATTGTTTATCGATGAAAGAGGAAGTTCGAGGTTTGTGGATGCTTGAGATATTCGCGGTCTTTATATTTTGGCGTGACTTCGAGTTCGTGAAATTGTTCGAGTCTGGATTCGAGAAGTAGAAGGTAAAGTTCGAATGTCTGGAGGTCTTGATGTTACGGAGGATCAGATCGTTCGATCGGAGATAAAGTTTGGATATTTAGGAAGTTCTCACTATTGGAAGTTCTTGCGGGGGATTTGTGGATATTGATGGAAGTGCAGAAACGTCAAAAGCAATCTTCTCATTCATATTTCAAACTTTGGGTCTTCGTGTCCTCGCGGTTCTTTTGTCGTATAGATTTTGTAATACGTTTCTTCCATTCTTGAAGCTATAATCACATTCAACTTTTCTTTGTTATAGTAAAGAAAAAGTACTTTGTTTAATGAGCTTTACGAAACAAGACAAATCCTTGATTTCTTTCATAGAAACTGGTTAGATAAAATTGCTTACGGAATCAAGAGAAGTACTTTGGTGAAAAAAGTCACTTTTTGAGAAGAAAACATAGGTGTTATTTTTTGTCACGTGCTTTTTAAAACGATACAACATTTATTAAAATTAGACGTACAGAAAATTTTGTATATCTTTTTAACACAGCTGTATGATCAGAAATGAACGAATATGCAGTTTTTCTTCCAAATTGTTGCATATTTTACAACTCTTTCTTTAGGAGTGATATGATTTATTTTAGTAGAAAATATATGTGTTCTTTTGCTTCAATCGTGACTTTAAAAAATTGTATTTTTGGTTCAAATTTTGCAATTTTATTGCACACGTGTGCATAAGAAGGTTCAAGGAACATGTCGTTAAAATTTCGTTTCAATATCTCTTCAGGTGTTTGAGAAAAAGGTTCGTGAAGTTAGCTAATCTAGCATTGATAAGATAGAGTATTCTGTTTCCTCTTAAAGAATATTACGAACAAATAGACGGGCAAACTCTTATATCAGGAAAATTGCTGAATGAGTCAGAGGCGGCAGGCGCTCGTTGTAATTAAAGTTCCTGAAACAGCAATTAAGAATTTAAAATCACTGGGAGCTTAGGGTACGCGAGGAAAACACGTGGATAAGGATCTCCCTGTAGAGTTCCCTATCGTTCCATGTTTAGCGTTCCGCGATGGTCCCCGGAAGTGAGGCGAGCAGACAACGTGGTGTGTTTATTTCTATACGTCCGTCTGCATGGAACTGTTCTCTCAGCCGCTTTTCTTTCTACTCCTTTTGTCTCATCCGCGCCGTCTCTGCTCTAGAGGGTTCAGACTTTCGCCAGCACGACTGTTAAAAAGCAGACATAGTAGGGGTACGGCGTTTATGGTCGTTGGTAATTATCGTCCACGGTTTGGATTTTCCAACGTGTAGCTGGAAATAGTAGCAAGATAGAACGGTAAAATAAATTCGCTGCTTTTGGGATCTTGTGTCGTGTACATTTCAGAGTTTTGGAATTTGCAGGTTTTCCAATTTCAGGGCTTTGGAGTTTGAAAATTTTTCAATTTGAGAGCGTTGAAGTTTGCAAACTTCCGAATTTTCACGCTTTGAAATTTGCACGTTTTCCAATTTCGGAGTTTTGAAATTTGCAAGTTTTCCAATTTCAGAGCGCTGAAATTTGCAAGTTTTCCAATTTCAGAGCGCTGAAATTTGCAAATTTCCGAATTTTCACGCTTTGAAATTTGCACGCTTTCCAATTTCAGAGCTTTGGAGTTTGAAAATTTTTCAATTTGAGAGCGCTGAAGTTTGCAAATTTCCGAATTTGCACGTTTTCCAATTTCGGAGTTTTAGAATTTTCAAGTTTTCCAATTTAAGAACGTCGAAGTTTGCAAATTCCCAAGTTCCATGCTTTGGAATTTGCAAATTTTTCAATGTCAGAATTTTAGAATTTCCGAGCTTTCCAATTTCAAATCTTTGGAATTTACAAATGTTCCAATTTCAAAGCGCTGAAATTTGCAAATTACCAAATTTCCTCTCTTTGGAATTAGCCAGTATTCTTGCGAAAAGCAGAGAAAAATCTGCTTACTTTGCTTTACCACGAGCTTCCCATTTACTTCTTTTTATTCCTTTGCTTTTGCAACATGTTCTACGAAGTTCCGAAGACTTTTCGTTTCAACGTTGTTCTAGCAAGAATTATTAGCTTTCGATAGTTTAGTTTAGATGTGTTTCTTCAATCCCTGCATGCTTTGTTTTGAGAGAAATCAAGCTCGCGGCCTACATAAAGCTATTGTTCGAACGGCAATCAAACCATTAAGAGGAATATTCAGTTTCGGTGTCTATCTGAATTTTGAATCTTCAAAAACTCGACTAACAAGAAATAATCTCTGCATCTGATACTGCAGCTGGAGCAACACAGAAAGGGAACTGAGTCGATGAATCGAAAGGAACTTAATTGGTTGAAGTAGACACCTGGCGAGGCGGGTTCGGTAATTCCATCGAACAATCCTTTATCTGCTCCTACCATCGAGTTTCTTTCAACTGTTTCCCCTGGAGGAGTTTCTTAATTCCCGCTTCAAGAGTATCTTCTCTCTTCGAATCCTCTTCGTCCCGATACAGACAGTGCTAAATTATTCTCGTAAATCTGTAGTTAAAAAAGAAAAAAGGAAAAAAGAAGAAAAACGCGAAACGATTATAGAATTATCCTGGCGATTGGTATCTCTCTCTCTCTAGAAACAACGAAGATACAAGAGAGAGAGAGAGAGGAGTCGAGGGGAAAGTAGATGGGGTCAGATCTCAGAGATATAAAGCGTCTGATCCGGCTAATCGCGATTCAAGCCGTGAAATGGACGGTCGAGGTCAATATTTCGAGGCTGAAAGTCAATTATTTCAATAAATCTGCCGTGTGCACGACGTCCATTGATTAGCTCGTCTTCCATTAGGACAGATGGTTGTACGTGACAGCCCACGGGGTAGCCGGTGAAATTAACAGCGTAAATCATCCCTCTTTGGTGGCGGTGCTTTTGCCATCGTGCCAGCCGTCGTCACCGCCCACCGATCCAACTATCTGTTCGGGTGTCTACGTCTTTCTTACTCGTAACTTTGCCGTTTGCTTTTACTTTGCAGCCCACGTGGCGTTTATGGGGCGAGGAAAGGGGCGATGGCGTCATATACACGGTGTACCTGAAGAAGGTCCGGTACCACAGGCCGACCAGGAGCCTCTCTGCATCGGTGAGAATTGGATCCTTGGATATCCTTTTTTATTGCTAGAGGGGTTTTCAGTTGTTTGAGGATTTAAGGATATTGCTATTTACAAGGTCGGGGATTTGGAGACTTAAGGCCTTTTAAGGTTTGGAATTTGGAAATTTGAGAATTTCACAGCTTTGGAATTTGCAAAACTCCCAATTTCAGAGCGTTGAATTTGCAAGTTTCCGAATTTTCACGCTTTGTAATTCGCAAAGTTTCCAATTTCAGAGCCTTAACTTTGCAAATTTCCGAATTTTCACGCTTTGTAATTCGCAAAGTTTCCAATTTCAGAGCGTTCAATTTGCAAATTTCCGAATTTTCACGCTTTAGAATTCGCAGTTTCCAATTTCAGAGCGTTGAATTTGCAAATTTTCGAATATTCACGCTTTCTAATTCGCAAAGTTTCCAATTTCAGAGCCTTAACTTTGCAAATTTCCGAATTTTCACGCTTTGTAATTCGCAAAGTTTCCAATTTCAGAGCGTTGAATTTGGAAATTTTCAAATATTCACGCTTTGGAATTCGCAAAGTTTTCAATTTCAGAGCGTTGAATTTGCAAGTTTCCGAATTTTCACGCTTTGTAATTCGCAAAACTCCCAATTTCAGAGCGTTGAATTTGCAAATTTCCGAATTTTCACGCTTTGGAATTCGCAGTTTCCAATTTCAGAGCGTTGAATTTGCAAATTTCCGAATATTCACGCTTTGGAATTCGCAAAGTTTTCAATTTCAGAGCGTTGAATTTGCAAATTTCCAAATTTCCACCCTTTAAAATTTCGTAACCTTTTGACAGTTTATCCCAAGGGAGACTCGGACAGAGCGTTAAATAACGAACAGTTTAACTCGAGAGATTTTTAAGAAGAAAGTTACAAAGGGATCAGATATTATTATCAGAACTGTGACGCAGAGTTATGTATCCCCTGTTTTAAAAATGATCACACACGTCACAAAATCTAAATTTCTTTTACCGTAATTCCTAATTATATTAGACTGTCAAAGGGTTAACTCCCAAATTCTCACACTTCGCGATATCAAAATCTTCAAACTTCGCACTTTCCATGAAAGATCTTCCCATGACTATCTAAAGTATCTTCATCTCTGAATGGAACCATTTCGTCCCCTCGTATAGGACTCAGACGACGAGATCTCACATTTAGAATGGGAAACGGTGAGAGTGCGTTTCCTGAAAGCCGGAACGGTGCAACGGCTGGTGGAGAGCCTGGCGAACGACGACGGGGAACTCGAGTCGACGTACATCAATGTCTTCTTAGCGACGTATCGCGCGTTCACGACGCCGCGAGAAGTACTGGAGCTATTGTTGGCAAGGTACGACGCCCTCGACGAGGGATCCGGCGCCCTGACAGGTGAACAACACCGTAAGACCCTGGTGCAAGCTCTTCACGTCTGGTTGGACGCTTATCCTGGCGACTGGAAGTCGCATCCGAATCATCCTTTGCTCAGCAGACTCTTGGACTTCACACATCGACGGCTTCCTGGCTCGGAGCTCGAGCTCAAGGCAAGGCATCGCTTGCACAGGTTCCAGCGTGAAGATCAGATAGGTAAAAGAGACTTTTCAATTCATTTTGTTCTAGTCAGACAATTTTCCAACACTTCTAAATATACTCTAAATTTTTTCACGGAGAAAAGGAGTAATAGAGAGTTTTTTTACTTTAATCGTGATTTCCCGTACCTTTTCAAAAATTAAATATTCTTTGAAAAATTATATCTTTCGTTCCAAGCAATATTTATAAATGCTACCATGCATATATGTGTAAGAAGGTTCAAGGAATATGTGATTAAAATTTGGTAACAATATCTCTTACGGTTTTTGAGAAGAAAGGTACAAAAAGTTAGCTAACCTAACGTTGCTAACGCAGCCTCTTTTGTCTCCTCGTAACCCTTTGACAGTCTAATAAAATTACGAATTACGGTAAAAAAAATTTAGATTCCCTTTTCTCCCTTTCTAATTTTCTTCCTAAGAGTCTCTCTTGAGTTAAACAGTTAGATATTTCACGCACTGCCCGAGTCTTACTCGAGATAAAAGTGTCAAAGGGTTAACACGCTACAGAACGTGATCAAACGATATCATTCTCGATCTTCCAGATTCCTGTATAGTGTATGACAATGGTCGACTACCGCGTGGTTCCCCGGATCCTATCGTGGATCAAACGAGTGACCCATGGGTGAACTGCAGCTTCCCTGAGGTTCCGCACAGGCACTTTGCTGAGCAATTGACTCGCATGGACGCTGAGGTGTTCAAGAAGCTCGTGGCCCATCAATGTCTAGGCGCAGTTTGGTCGAGAAGGGATCGTTCTAGAAGTCACGACGCGGCCACTGTTTTGGCCACAGTGAACCAATTTAACGCTGTATCGCTCAGAGTTATGTCCACGATACTGATGGACTCAGCTATGAAGCCTCAGGAACGCGCTAGGGTCCTCGAAACTTGGATCGACATCGCTCAAGAGCTTCGCGTGTTGAAGAATTTCAGTAGCCTGAAGGCTATCGTGTCCGGTCTCCAGAGTAATCCTGTGTACAGGTTGGAGAAGTGTTGGCAATGTATGCCAAGGGAGAAACACGAGTTGTTCAGGGAGCTGGAGAGGATTTTTTCAGAAGAGAATAACGCTTGGACGCAGCGGGAGCTTTTGATCAAGGAAGGAACAGCTAAATTCGCGGACACTGCTGGTAGAAGCGACAGGCATTTGCAGAAGCTGTTTCAGAAGCAGAACACTCACGCGGGAGTAAGTATCATTTCTGATGGTGTTTATGGGTGACATATTGCCGATTGAAGGAATTAAACTTATTACGGATATGAGGTATTTATTAGAAAAATTCTTAAAGTATCGTGTGTGTTTTCACGTTCATTGTAAACGAAACACCCTGTATACAGTTCAAGAGTCTGCCGTAGAAATTAGCGATGATATACTAACGCAACGATATTATGCAAGAAAATATCTTACCAAGTGATAGATCTACCAATTGGCAATATGTTACTTGATCGAAGTATAATATTAAGAGCATCTTACTATAACTTGATATTATTTTCTTTGTAGAACATCAGCTATGGAACGATACCGTACCTGGGCACCTTTCTAACAGACCTGACGATGATAGACACAGCGATACCAGACACGATAGCAGAGGGTCTGATTAATTTCGACAAGAGACGGAAAGAGTTCGAGGTATTAGCCAGGATAAGACTGCTTCAAGGTGCCGCTAACGCTTACAACTTCAGCACAGACCCCCTATTCGATCGTTGGTTTCACTCTGTGGTAGTGTTAGATGATCGAGAAGCCTACAAGCTGAGCTGCCAGATCGAGCAACCGCCTCCGGGGAACACTCTAAGCAATCGTGGCAAGAAGAAGCAGGTCAGCATGCTCTCCCTGATCTCGTTAATACGATCTCGTTCCCGATCACCTGTTCCCCGCTCGAAGCCTGAGCCCAGACTTGTCTTGCAGAGTCATCAGGGTCATCGTAAAAACGACTCGATCGCGTCTACATCGAGTTCGAGCAGCTCTCAGTTCTACTGCGACCTGGATTCTCTGCCAAGCTCGCCGCACAACTCTCTCGACAGGCGCACCTCGCCGTCCCAGATGTCCAGCTCTTCTTCTAGCTCGTCTTTGCCATCGTTGGACGTGTCTCTTAGCTCGGGAGGAGGAAGTGGAGCCACGGTTAACCAGCACAACCGACTAGCGCCACCGACTGCCATCACAGCCAATGGAAACAGCCCTAATCTAGTTGGCCTCTCTAGCCCAAGTCACTCGCACAAGAGTTCTCCAGATTTTTACATAATCAAGGTCACCATGGAGAGCGACAACGTGGAGACGGACGGTGTGGTGCTGTACAAGTCCATCATGCTCTCTAACAACGAGAGGACACCGCAGGTGATCAGAAACGCGATGCTCAAGCTTGGAATCGAGGGCAGTCCTGACCAGTATACCCTGGCTCAGGTGTTACCTGATCGTGAGCTGGTCTTGCCGAACTCGGCGAACGTTTACTACGCCGTGAACACCGCGCACAATTTGAACTTCATCCTGCGACCTAGGAGGGAGCCTAACGATAGCATCACCGAGAGTCCTAAGAGCAAGACGAGCCACAAGCGGTAGTGAATGATTGACAATTGAACGGAGATCCATTACGAACGGTAGTTCGTCATGTTGCCTAGAGCTGCGTTGTGCTGAAACGTTTACAGAGGAGAGACACTCGTGTTCATCTTCATGGGCTCTTCTGTGTGAGAGCTAGGCGAAGAACAGTACAGAAACTGATAGAATCTCATTAAGCTTTGCGATGGTGCGTTCATCACCGTTTCTTTTTACCTTTCTACCCATGACAGTACCAATGTTCGTTGTATCGCGAGGAATTCTTTTTTTCTTTCTTTTGTAGGATAATCGTGAACGATGCGTTAACAGCGATACCACAGATCGCGTATTTTTTTCTATCTCTTTTTTCTTCTTCGTCACTCACCCATCGCACACTCGTGTTAACACGACGTTACCCCCCGCCTACACGGTACTCGAATATGACATTAGAGTAAATTCGCGGACTAATGTAGCTTTAGGTATGTTTAGCGTGAGTCAATTTTTTTGGGCCTGTTGTGTCGACGCACACGTGAAACGAACAAAGATGAGAACGAGAGAATGAGAATGAGAGAGAGAGGGAGAGAGAGTTGTAGCTTGCGAGGTTCGCGGACCTAGGAAAATTCGTGTGTTAGTCACGTGTAATTTATACAGAGAAATCCTTGAGGATACCATGAGATTACAAGGGAAATTTCTCGCGACGAGAGCGTGTCGCGTAAAGCGTTGTTGTATCCGCGTTTAGGGGATCATTGTGATTTTGTACATAACCTTAGTTTCGTAGTGTAGCTTCGAACGCGATCGATCGGTCGCGGGAATTATCAAAGTGGACTCAATTAAAGAAACAATTGTCAATTACTTTTTTTCTGCAAACGAAAACGAGAAGACAAGAAAACGAGGAAAGAAAGAGGTCGAGAAATTGTTGAAAGCAAAACATTCGTCCATTCCGTGATTCATTTTTCTAGCCGCGCATCCGCGACGACGATGCGAGGAACAGAGAAATTAAATTCTGTGATATTGGAATCTCTCATTTCGGCTTTGCTATTGAAATCAATTATCGAAAAGAATAGACGAGGAGAAACGGGAAAATTGAAAGAAGAAAAAAAAACCGAAATCGAGTATACACAATTCGTGGTAAAAATTGAATATCGAATAATTGTTCCGATATCGAAGCTAGGACACGTTTAGAACGTGTGCGAACGTACGTTGATATATTTTTACAAGGACCTGCATGCATTTCGTAAATAGAACAGGAGAAAACAAAGCACAGAAAATAATAAGGATCCAAGTGTGTCGATGTTAAATCGTGAAAATAGTGTTGATGTGTTTGGATCCCCCCCTTTTGATGCATCCAGTTTAGCTTAGGCAATTTTGTACTTACCTCTTTATCGACCCCTAATTTCCCTGGACATGTTTCTAACTAACTGTATCTGTTCGTGTACACGTCAATTGTTTATTGGAAACCGCGCAAGTTATGTGTATATGCGAGTCGATAAAAGTGAGAATAGATGGCCTACAATTTTACTCAGACTTTTGATCCTAGATTTCGTTTTTCTGCTACATTTACCTCTCAACCATTGCACGAGTAATCTCTACTTTGCTGTTCAATTTTAATAGTTAAAAAGAAAAGAAAAGATCTATTCTGCACTGAAATAGTCCAATTTTTCTTTCAACATCTGCGAAGTTAATTCTATAAATTAAATCCTCAAGATTGTGTCTTTGCACACGAACGCAAGATTACACGTGAAAGGGTTAAACACCCTACGTTAACCTTTTGCGTGACCGAATTAATTTTTTCAACAATAAGCTGTACAATATGAACACTAAAATGAGATCAATTTTGTTTCGGAAAGGATCACCGGTCACGAAAGGATTAAAATCAATCTTTCACTCTTCTTTCATTTTTCTCTTATCCACCATTAATCGACCGTTTCATTTCTAATCTCTTTTTTGTTATCCACCGAAGAGATCCCGCATCAATCCTCACTGTCGTCATCGTTTATCCACACTGCATCGAGAACTAACCTTTACGACCATCTAAAGAGAGAGAAAAAGAGAAAGACAGAAAGAGAACGAGGATGATCAGATCGTTAGCCGTACGAGACCGTGGAACACCACGTCGTGCGGCCTCGCTGATGACTTCCGGTATGCCAGCACATCCGGCACGCGAACCTGTTGATCACCCTTCTCTACGAGGGTGCAAGTACCCCTAAGTGCAGGTAGGTATGTTCCGCCGTTTATCGGAGGAAACGAGTCACGAGGGGGGTGAAGGAGGGCGAAGGTGGGAGAGGGGTGGAACTAAATGGTAACGATTTCGACAAACGTGCCACGATCATTCAACGGAGAGGGTAAAGGGCAGTTTCAATCCCCCTTTCTCGTGTTCTTACCGCGATCGATGGAGATAAGGGCGAGCTTCCTCGACGCGAAACTGGCTCAAGGTCACACGTGGCTTACGCCAGAAACGCGGAACCGGAGGAATTCGTACGTGCACGCCGATGGAGGCTTAATTGACACACCGAATATCGGTTTCTTGCCCGCGTCTGCTCTGTGTAGGTTAATGTGATTAGAGTGTGAACCGTTTGGTGGTACATTAGGAGAGCGAAGTTTTAGAGGTGGATAATGGTATCGCGGGGGTGGACCGATTGATTTCGAGTTAGGCGTAGTTCAAGGATAGATGGGGCTTGATGTGACTTTAAATGGGGAATTGTCTGTAATGAGAATTGAAATTGTTTTTCAAGTTACTTCAGGGATGTTTTTTTCTTCTTTCATCAAGGATGATGTAGGGTGGTTTGATTTATTCGGGGGTTAATTTGTACCGAGTGATTTTAATTGGGAAATTTCATTTGATTGGGGATTACTTCGTTTAACGGGGAATCGATGTGATTTTAAACGAGGGTTCTTTGTTTCAGGAGGATACAGTTTGATGTTGGAATGTTTAATTAATTGGTTTCTAGCGAATTGAGGGGGATTGAATTTTGATTTAATAATAATGTCTAATATATTACACAAATGAAGAGGGCAAACAATGAATCACGATAGAATTGTGTAAAGTAGTTAAAATCGAGATTCTGAAGGGAGACAAAGATTCGTGAGAGAAGTCGATATTTTTGCTAAATTTATTTGCAGACGAGCATAATTCATTTATACAATCTACCTCGCCTAACGTGCCCCAGAAAAGATTCTTATTTCTAATAATAGCTTTTCTAGGAATATTAAATTGAAAATGTTCAAAAAAGTTGCCGAACGTTCGAAAAGTTGATTAATAATTCGGAAGAATTTGTGCTGAAATTTCTTATTTTGTTCTTTCATTCTTGAAAGTGAAGATACTAGAACAGTGAATGGAATTTTAGTTTAACGGTCTCTTTACGTGATCGGTGTCCAAACGTTCACTTCGAAAGTGCATTTACATATCGCAAAACGGTGTGTCGATCGGGAAAGTGTTATCTAAACTTTACTCGCCGTGCTTTTTCGATTGTCCGTCCCGCATTTCGTGTCGCGTCACGGCTTTAATTTAAAGAGCTGTTGTTGTAACGAGGTCCCAACAAACTCCGACGAGTATTGTAAGCAATATTAAAGGAATGAAAAGTTTCCTAACGGTTTCCGGACTTAGTTTATTTCATCTTGCATTGAAATATTGTTTACGCAATTTGTTTTCTGTAAGAAGTGGACGTGCTGTGCAAGGGAGAAATAGACTGTAGAGTGTAAAAAATAGTGGTATATTGTACCATTTGTAACTTTTTCGAAATCAGCAGGTAGTGTAAGTCAATCACTTCTTAGACATGCCGACGTACTCTACGTTCGGATAAATTCCGAAATTCGACCGGAAAACTTTGGGAGGGTACTGAAGCAGCTTAATTTAATAATTTATTAACGTTTCCATTTTATTTTCAAGTACTTTAATTGAAGAGTAATTAGTGTTTCTGGTTGAATAGCAATTTAGATGGTAGGTTATAATTATTAGGAGCATTAAATAAATTTGTTGCATACTTTAATGTACTAAAACAGTGAAAATTTCTTAATTCCACATCGAGTTAACAATTGCATGCTGTGGATTATTTAAAAATTGTTTATAATGTAGGAACCTAGGGAAAAATATCGAGGGAACCAACGGGAATCGAACCCGGGACCTTCGGCTTAGCAAGCTAAGGCTTTGCGCGCTACGCCAACCACTTCCCTTTTTATTTTCTCTTGTCGGTTTCTTATTTGGGTATGGAGGCCCCGATACTACAATAACGTTCATTGAAAATTTAAAAATTGATGTTCTTTTCGTGTGAATTACAGACGGAACTTTTAGATCATCGCAGGAATCAAGGAAAGGACTTAAATATTAGGAAAAATTAAGAAATGCAATTATTTATTAAAAATAATGATTTATTGTAATAAAAGTGTATAAAATATATTTTACCAAAGGTTACAATATACCAGTGTAGTTTTACAGCATTTTGCAGTCTATCTATTTCTCTTTTATACACTAAATCTATTTACTTTTGCAAAACACTCATTCGTTAAATAATATTCCATTAAAAAATTAAGCAAACTAAGTCCGGATTGTGTTAGGAACGCGTAAAAATCGCGATATTCGAGCGAAAAACTTGGAAACTTGCTTGAAAATAGCTTACGGATACCGAAAACTTTCGAATGTCTCAGAAATGGTTGACTTTACTACTTTAGAAAATTTTCGGAATTGAAGCAAGAGGTAATATCAACCGTTTCTATGAAATTCGAAATTTTTCGGTATCCCTAAGCTATTTTCGCGCAAGTTTCTAAGTTTTTCACTGGAATTTCGCGATTTTTACGCTTTATACGCGTTTCTAACGCTAGCGGAATGTTGTTTACTTAATCTTTAATGGAACATTATTTAAGGAACGAGTGTTTCGTAGAAGGAAATGGATTTGGTGTCTAAGGGAGAAATGAGTAGATTTTAAAATGCTATAAAACAATACTGGTATATTGTAACTTTTTGCAAAATACATTTTGTATATTTATCTTACAATAAGTCTTCGATTTTTTGATAAATAATTGCATTGTTTCATTTTTCCTGATTCCTGCGGTGGCCTGATAGCTTCGTCTGTAATTCACACAAAAAGA